TGTCATGGACTGGCTGGCTACCCTGAACTAGGAAAAGGAAGCTCAGTGGGGAGGTGTTCCCTAAAGTTTCTCATCCATCCAGGCCATAGGTCCATTGGGTCATGTTTGCTAATCCCTTGGTTTCTTTCACAGACAGTAGCACTGTCCTGGGGTCTCTGCTTAAGTCCTCACTTCTCAAACAGCATCCCCATTCCAGTTCCTTCTTCAATCATTTGTTGTCCCCATATCCTCTTGATCCATGGTTTTGGACCCCTCCCTTGATTGAAGAGATGTACACTTTGCTGCTAAGCCCACTAACACATCAAGTATTGGGGTTTTCACTTTAAAATTCTGTAATAGTGCCCCTGCCAGTTTAAGAAAAAAATCTAAGTTCAGAGGAGTACTGGAACTTGAGTGTTAGTTGTCTTAGCACTGTGAGAACGAGGATCCTACAATTTGCAGGCAAGATGCATCAATCTCCTCTTCTTGCATGTCCTCAGCATGTTTGTCAATACTCGCTCAACTTTTCCACCGTGGGAACCAGCTGTATTATTGCTTGTACCTTTTCAGTATGTAGTGTGTTAGCTCTCACTACCCAGTATCCACCTGAGCATTATCAGTTTGTGAATGTGAAGTAGCTTCTCCTTTCTTCCTCAGTTGCTAGTATCTGGGTCCGTATATCAAACCTAGACTAATTGTCACCCTGCAAAACTATACTTGTTAGCTCACTTGGCATAATCTTTTGGAAGAGGATTCCCAATAATAATAAATTAAATACTCTTTATTTAAATCTATTTCACTCCCTCCTACTGCTTTATTCCCAGCCTAATCCTGTGGCCCTATGCTTACTCCCTTCCCCACTTGCTACATTGCTTCCAGCTCCATCCTGCTCTGTCTCACTCCCTCCCCAGAATGCTTTTAGCCTTTTCCCCAACCTGCTGCTCTGCTTCTCACCTGATTCCGCCACTGCTGTTCTTCTCGTTGTTCTGGGTTTTCAAATGAAAATCTTGCATATTTTTTTTTTCCTCCACTGCTGCTTCTATTGCTGTTGCTAAATTCATTCCTATCAGCAATCATCTTTGAATTCACAACCCCCTTCCCCCAGCTGGTGCTTTACTCCCAGCTGGCTTTGCCTCACCCCTCCCCCATCTGGTCTGCTTCTTACTCCTTCCCCCACTTGCTTCTCAGCCTCTCGCTCTCTGATCTGCTTCTCACCCTTTCCTCAGCCTGCCACTCTTCTTCTTGCTTGAATCTGCTGCTTTGCCCCCTGATTCTGGAGCTGTTTTCCCACCCTATGCCTGATCTGTCCTGCGCCACAAAATAGCAGCTGCACATGTGCCCGGGATTGGCCACCCCTGTGTTACACCAACTAAAATTTAAAACTGCACTGGCATTTCATCTTGAGTAAAGTAAAATCTTTTTGTAAGATTTAACAATAAGCAGAGGTGACAGGCTAAGGTCAAGTTGCATGCTGATTGGTACTACATCTGTTTCAACTTTATCATAAAAGCAACTTTAAGAAGCAAACATCTTTCAGTAGGTTTTTGTAAATAGGATTTTCCTGCTGCCTCCCCCCTTTCTTCTCAGTGAAGCAGACCAGAAATTTCAATATTTCCAATTTCAGAAGGGAAATTCCAGATAACACTGATGTGAAGGGGAATAAGAGACTTGGTACAGAAAAGCAGCATAAATAGAAGTGATGTGGGATGTGTCTAAGCTTTTACAGAGAAACAAAATGGAACTGGGAAACTTAGCTTATCTATTCTGCCTCCTACATATTTCACAACAAAGGCTAACATACTGCATCTTAACTTTCTACAGCAGACCAGAAAACGCTGCAATTATGGCCTTTTAAAATAAATAAATGTTCAAGAATAACTACAGAATTTGCTCTTGTTTTTCAAGATAATGGTACAGCCACTGAAGAATTAGAAGCAGGAATTCTTAATGTTAAAATTTCTTACCGGATCAAAGTTGCTGTTCCAGCAATGACATACTTAAATGCATGAACTCTTCTCTTCCAAGAATATATCGGACAGAAATCACTTCTATTTTTTTTTAAACCTTGTCAGTTATTGATTTGCACAGCAAAAATGCTGATATTAAGTAACTGTGTTTTGTGTGCAGCTCATGAAACCCACTGGGTTCTCAAAATTTAAACCTAGATTTCCACAACCTCTTCCCCCCCCCCCCCCTTTTTATATTACCACCCAGCTAAAAGTTAGCATTTCCCTCCTGTATACTTGCATAAATTAGTTTTCATTGAGACTTTTAATGCCATTCCGCTTACAAGGCTAATTATACCTGCATTGTCTTTTTGCATGCTCTAGAAGAAATAAATAACCTTCCTCTGTGGATATTTAGTTTGTAGTGTTAATGGTCAGAAGTAGCATTCAGTTTAATTAATTGTCCAGCGTGTGAAACGTACAAAGAGCAAACTTGTGGTAAATGTGCCTCCATTCTCAAGACGTACTGCTTCTAGTCTGGGTTTAATAAGTTTTATTAAATACTGTTATGAAGACAATACACTTCTATTTTATGTACTGGAAGCTAATGGTTGAATTGGCCTGTTTCTAATAAAATATGCAAGAATTTATTTGGACATTCTTACTGGTTCTGGCACAATGTAAATACTTGTAAGAAAGGCCACTGAAAATTGAATAGCAGCATTAGTTAGCACCCTTCTGTTAGATCAGTGTGTTTTTTCAACCTGTAGGTTGCAACCCAAAAATGGGTCATGAGAACATATGAAAGGGTCATGAGCAAATTTTTAAAATGGATTCTCTGTTAAAGGAGAAAAACATGGGGAAACGGTGGCTTTTCCCTTGCAGGGTGTCAGGAGTTCTGTTATAGCTGAGATCAAGGCCCCTGCAATGAGGGAGGGAATGGGACAGGCACTGACCAGCCGGGGTGGGGAAGGGCACAGGATGGAGCTGCAAGTAGTTTGTCGGAAGGTGAGGGAACGTATTGTGTGGGGGGCCCCCCCCCCCTCCAGATGTGTACAGTGCAGGGCAGGCTGGAGCAGGCACAGGACCCAAGTGTGGCTGCTGTGGCCCCAGCTGGGCAGTCCCAACCCCACACCTTCCCTCGCTGTGGGGGCGTTGATCTGCCCCCTTCCCCTCTACCCATCCACCACACCGGACTTACCAGCTGCAGGAAGCACTCCATGCTTCTGGGCTCTGCTCCTCAGTGCCTATGTGCTGCAGTGTGGCTCTGCACATGCATGGGCTTTTATCGGACAAATCAGGCCAATTTCCGATACAGAAAATGTTCTTTATATTGGTGCCAATCTGATATCGGACCAATGTATTGGTGCACCTGTATTACAAATGGGTCCTGGTACAAAAAAGATTGAGAAACACCGTGTTAGATCACCTTAAACTTATTTGAGTGCCCTTAGATTCCATAAGTTTGGTAGTGACTAGAGGTGATTCTAGTCTGTTTATAGCTGAGATCTCTGAAAGTCTTGCAAGGCAGGGGGAATTTTGTTAGTTTCAGCTCTGCTTTAGCCTCAATTCTGCTTGCCTTCTAAATAACTTATTGATCAGATCATTGCATCAGAATACATCGCTGTTTTGAAAGTCATGAGAGAATGATTTATGTATTAAGAATAAAGAAGGCTGGGCAGTGTAAGCTATTCTATAGTTCATTTCTAGACCCCATGATTTACTTAGTTACACTAAACTAAAGTGTGAGAGAATATGCTTGAGCTAAATTTTAACTATCGCTCTTTGAAATAACAGTAAGTGCCAGTTTACGGTAACAAACCCAGTCTAGGTATTGACTATTTAGGATTTCACCAAAATAATTTATTTGAAGGCTTTCAAATAATGGATTTATAAGCAGGCACTAAAAAGCAACATTAGTTCAAAGGGAACAAAATAATATAGGCATTGGCTTTAAAAGTACCATATACATGGAGTGGAAGCTTCTCCCACATAACAAAAATGCTGTGTGCACAGCCCCAAAGTAGGGTTTTGAAATGGTGAGTAGATGGGAAGCTTCCCCCAGTGGGGCAGTTAAAGCCCCACTACTCAATTCCCTCCCTAGGACTGGGAATAGAAGAGCAGCCTCTGATCCTGACACCTTTCCAAAACCAATATCTCATCCAGGTAAGGTGGGGAGAGGGGGCATGTGCAGACACAATGTCTGTACTTTTCCCTCTCCCAGAACAATTTTGTAGCAGTGGAAATCTCTCAAATTTCCACCCCTATAAACTAACACCTGTTCAATCAAAAAAAAACCCCCAAACTCTCTCCATGTCTGCTCCATATCATTCGTGTTCAACAGAACTGTGGCTGCGAGCAGTATTTCTTTACTGTTGATGCTATATTGATTAATCCTAGCATATTTCATAGGTGCCAACACAGCTAGAACCATAATTTCTTTATTTAACTCTGTGCACAGCATATAATCACTTGTGCTGCTTTAGTTTTAGTCTCGTTGTAGTCTGCAGTGACATGTCCTTGTACTAATTTGTTTTCTATGCCTAGTTAAATAGACATTTTGCCAGGCCAAACTGCCCTTTTTTTTTAATGTAAAGCCTGCCAGCCTGGGGCTGCTCTGACCCAACTCACCATGCAATGGAGGGGCTGGGTGAGGCACAAAGGCATTCTAGTGCACATGTAGACACAGGGATGTTTACTATGGAGCTAATTAGCCAAACTGCAGTAGATGTCTCGTGTAGACATGCCCAGTTGGTACTAAACTTATTTGAAGTTGTTCTTTAAAACATCTGGTAATAAATATAATTATAAAGAGGAGCAAGCATAGCATTTACAACAGACTCGTGTTGATGTCTTATGACTGACTGCACTGCTATGACCAGTGATCAAAGCTAATGTTCCATATGTTTAATACATATGGAAAGAGCCAGAAAACTCAAAACACTGTGAAGTTATAACTGGTAAGATTGTGAAGGATTAAACCATGTGAAAGTCCTTAAAATCTCAGTGGTGTTAAACATTACAGTTCATACATGCTAAGTCCTCTGCCATGTTATGCAATATTGAAGTTAGTTCATGCCGTGAGCAGGTTTGTGTTGCAAGCTAATACTCCCTGACCTGCACAGCTCCAACTTGCCCCTAGAGCAGCGGGTGTCAACTCCATCTGACCCCACAGGCTGCATGAGTGGCACAGGGCTGGTCCACAGACTTGGTTGGTCCAGGGTCCCAGTCCAAGCAGGTGTGGTACCAGGGACCAGCTTATGGGGTGCTGAGCTAGATCTGGGTTGTGGGATGTATGTGACACCCCTGCGCTAGACAGCTGCGAGTGGGGGTGTTGATAGGAGCTGCCAAGGCTCCTCATGGTTGCTTGGCTCTGTCAGTCTGAGGCAATAGAGTTCAGGAGGATAGATGGCCTTCATGGGGTGGATTGGGGAAGCAGTGCATTCTGGGATGCTGGAGGACTGCAGATTGCTTGTTATCGTTCATGTGGGCTGACATTACAGCATCACGAACTGCCTAACACCAGCTAGAGATGCTTCTTACCCAAAGATGCATAACTTTGGGATGCTCTGATGGCACTTAGCTCATCTTTTCCTACCTTAATGCCTGGATGCTTCTGCCTTGAGAGCATTTTAACACATGGGAAGGGTAACATCTAATAGCACCCTTAGCATCACAAGCTAGTGGAGAAGAAATTTCCTGGAGTTTTAAGATGTTGGTCAGAAAAAGCTCAAAGCAGAGAAGTAGATAATGCAGGTCAGGGACCAAGATCTTACTCGGGTAAAACCAGGTGTTAATTTATGACTTGGGGTTTCTTTAAGTAATATTCCAGCAAACTTTTAAGAATAGCCCCTACACCAGTTCACTGTATAAATGATAAAATTATCTTTGAAGTGTAGCAAAGGCTATTCTCAACGTTTGTTGGAATAAAGACTCCTGCTAACCCACAGTCATAAGTTAACACCTGTTTTCACCTGGGTGGGGGGGAATTGAGCCTCTCCCCTTTCAGTAAGCATTTGACAGGTAGTTCTGTGATGACTTGCCAAGATATATTAGAAATTTTAGCATGTTGCTCCCTTGCTTTTGAGCTTGTGGTATGTGAAGAAAACTTGAATGTAGTCTGTTTAGGCTAGGTCGCCAATTTCTGATTTGACAGAACAAAGTCTTGGAACGCATAAATCTAAATTGTCACTGAGGTAACTTGCATAAACTTGTCACTTCTTTTGACAGAGGTGGCCTCAGCAATGTGCTATTCCAGTGTTCATTACCTGACACCATAGAGACAATTGCAGATGAGCCACGAACAGTCCTCCTTCGTCTATATGGTGCAATTCTACAGATGGTGAGTATGTTGAATGCTTTGGGAGTGGGAGGGTTTCTGTAGCTTAACCTTAGAATGTATTTGAAGAGCCCTGAATCAGTAATGCATTGTAAACATGTTGCTTTTACTGTTTGGGAGTGTCTTGGTGACAGGGTTGATCTTAAGGTTAATATAGTTCATATTGGTTTGTTGCTTATAAAAATGTACTTCTGTCTTCAAAAATCCTAACTGGTGTGTATCAGCTGACAGATTTACTTGATGCTGGTTCAGCCCATAACATGTGTTTTTTGGTGTTAAGTTTGGAGTATGGTATTCCAAAATAGTTATTAACCCTGCTTTCTTGTAACTTGTAGGGTTTTGCTTAACTAGCAAGATTTCAAAGGACTAAACCATCTGGAATCCTTTTAAATCTTGGCATTGTCTTTATGGACCGTTCTGAGGTTGAAGTAGAAATTTTGTTGAACATGCTGGGAATACTCTCTAGGCAATTTCTTAGAGGTCTGAATATATTGTATGTAATACTGTAAAACTTACTGATCTACAGTATTAGTCAACACCGAGCACAAGTTCCCAATGCCCTGTAACAATTCCAAAATATTTTGCAGTTGTGCTGTTATAAATTTTTAATGCTGTTTACTTGTCAAAAGTAAGCTATAGCTTGTAAAACTAGATTTGAGAGTTAATGGCTGTTTCCAGGTGAGCAAAATAGCCTGGTTTTGGTATCCATAAATTTAGGGTACTGTCAGGTTCCCAGTCACTTGCCTTGACTAATCTACTGGAGATATTGGATCAACTTAACTACTGAAATTCTGGTCCATGGTTTCCTTCTGAGCATTCACCCACAGTGGCATATTTCTTCCTATTTAGATGCTGTTGCTTAAGTACTTGCAAAGAAGTAGGTTTGAAGTTTGACCTTTCACTAATGAAAGTTAAGACCTTTGGTAACTGCTTAACACTTGTTAGCTTGCCCTACTGTAGCTAAATATTGCTGCAATATGCAAAAGAGAGCATGTAAAAAATGGTTTGAAACTACAACAAAATGCATACAGTAGAGGTAAGTTGAGAGTAGTCTTAATTTGATGAATAAGACTTCATTAAGCTAAGCTTCAAACTTTCTGGAAACAAGTTGAATCTATTATTAAAACTAAATCTAGAATCTGTTTTGGCACCTGGTTATAGAAATTGATACTATTTTTACCTAAAATTAGTTGACTTAAGCAAAACTGATTGGACTAACTTTTATTTGGTCTTAAAAGCATAGTAGTTGTAAGTTTTGCAGCCATTTTCCTACTTATCTTTGTTATAGAAGAGCTATACATTTTCCCTTTTAATAATGCTCTGAAGAAAAGTAGCCATGCATTATAAAAGTGCTCAGGGGAAAAAAGCACAAGAATTGGTCATCTTCCTTTTTTCTTCTAGGGTTTTTCTTAACTTACCTCTTCTGTACACAGCTCACAAAAGAATCTAAAGATGTTAGTCTCTCTCAAACCTAAGGACTAATTCATCTAATTAGCTTTTAAAAGCTCAGTGTGCAACTTTCTAACCTTTCTACTCTGGGTGTTGAAGGATCTTTTGATATGTCTAACTACCTTTATTTCCATAGTGGCAGTGAAATGACTGCTCTTGTTGGTGCAGTTCACTAAGGGTTAAGTAAGCAGACTGCCCCAAGGTAAAACTTTCAGATTGCATTGAGGTTCACAGTTTCTGTCAACAAACACTTGTCTCTTCCAGTGCTACCTCTTTAAACAAATTAGAACATAAGCAAACTGATTTTACTGGGGGTATTTTGTAAGCCTCATCTAAGATTGTAGTGAACTTTCAAATGTTAAGATGCTTCTGACAAGGAGGGGAATTTTTATCCAAATTTCTTGTTATTTTTAGCTGTCAGTTCACTGAAATTCTTTTCAAGTTCCCTAGTTATGTTGTAAGGGACTGTGTAGGTGAGTAGTTCTTCAATTTTTGGTCTTAACCCTAAAATTGACAAGCATTCTTGAGTAAAGTTCTTGGGTCTTAATGGTCACAACTTCCAAGTCGGTTCATTTTTGTGACATGTTGCAACACTTTTAATGCTAGTCAGTTAAAGTTCTGTTGAAACTGGTGTGCCCAAAACAAGCTATGCCAGCTTCCCTTATTTTTGTACTCTGAATTGATATCAATCTCCAATAAACTAAAATAGATGAAATTAAAGAAATCAGAAGATCACACGATTTCCAAGGAATGAATGCTAGAAAAGTTACTAGTACTGAACTTTTTTTTTAAATGAAGGGATAGCAGCAGCACAGCTATAAAAGTTAGCTTTGAAAGAACCAGTTCCTTGCAAATTTAAAAATAACCCCAGTTTGCTTATTATGAATCTTGGAAGAAACAAATGTTCGTACATACAACTCCATTTAATATAAGCCATGCCAGTTAGCTAAAGCTGCCACCTGGGGATGGCTTTGCCTCCCTCTGTCATAGCTGATCTGTTAAGCCAAATTTCTGTGTGCATGAATGTTTGCGGGGCGGGGTGGGAGAAGTTGGGTGGGAGAGGTGAGTTGAGTTGGCTTGTCCATTATGACTGGTCTTGCTGGCCTGGTTGTCTAAACATTGAAGACTTCTTTTGAGTAGATCCATGAGCAGACTTTTTTTTTTTTTTTTTTTTAAGGGCAAATACTTGTGCTTGTGAAGAGGTTATGGTACTAACAACATCTAAAATTCAAGTGTGTTTTGAGGCACAATGCAGATATGCTATCAATGCAGAAAGCTAATCAATGCATCTTTGTCATGCTTCTCATTTGAGCGGCCTCTACATTGCCCCCCACTCCAAAATTGCCATGGGAGCACTTAAGCTAAAACTTCCTCATGATAACAAAATTACTTTAATTGTTGGGTGTTGTGGTTTACAAATCACTGAAAGAGAAGCCTGTCCAACCACACCGCATGCCTTAACTTCTTAAACTTTTGTTCAGCTTATGAAATTCCAACAATGTTTGAATTAATATTTCTTCATGGTAGACAGGGCAGCATTTCAACATTTGGTGCTATAAACTGAAAAGAAATTTAGTTTACCTGTCAAAATATAGTTTGGCAAGTAATTCATATGACTCCTTTTCATGTCAAAAGAACCTTGAACTCTGCTTCACTGGGTTAGTTAGCTTACAGTAGCCAAAATTTACCAAGTCTTGTGTTATCCTCAGCAATATAGAGATTTGATGTTCCTATAGCTTCTAAACTTGCACTTGAGCAGACACTGAAACTTAATGCTAGCCATGAATCTGGCAACTTGTTTCATACCTGCCTTGCTGCCTTTTACTGTAACTAAATAAACTGCTGATTGCTGTGTAATTGTAACTGTTTTTTTGTGATTGTTGCTGTCCATACTTGTTTGTGGCATGGAATATCTACAAATCCCTGGTATTAGCAGATGGCTTTAATGAAGCCAAGCACCTATATTATGGGGGAATATTTGTGTTGGGTGGCATTAAGGGTGTTCTGGGGGGGGTAATGTACCACTCTAGTTGTATATGCATGTGTTCTCTGCTGCAGGCTTGCCCATGCGATCGTGCCTAGAGCACTCTGGTTTCCAGGTGACAGACACGATTCACGGTATAGTATGAGATATCTGAAGTTGGAGCATTCTCTACAGCTTTCATTTCTCTAGTTCTGGATTTAATTTTTTTTTTATTTATTTATTTTTTTTAAGAATAAGGGTTAAGTAGTACCAGCTACTGTTTACTGAGTACTAAAAATTTGTACAAAATACTGCCCCTTCCTTTCCTCTGCTCCCTCATTAGAGAATGGTAACTCTGTCCAAAGTCAAGGTAAGCAATATTTCTGTGCATGTGTAGCTTTTTTTATCCTTTATGATTGTCTTCTACCCATTTGTTGTTGGCGGGACTTATTCTAACTTCATTCCCTTCAGATCTAGCTACATCAGGGACTGAACACAAGTTAGCTGAATAAAACTTAATAGTGTTGCCAGATTGCAAGGACTATGCATCCCTTTGTTGGGTAGTTCTCATACCAACTTTAATGATCTGTTTCTAAAGTCCAGGAAGGATTTTAGATAGACTGATACTGCACATACTATTTTCTTTTGTCAGGAATATTTCAAGATACAAAAACTGGTGTTGCATTATCACCTAGGGGCATTTTAATTTCGTCTGCAAATTGAGCTGGTCATTAAAGTTGAGTACATTTTACAAAGGTACAAATTTCAGCGCTAGAAATAAACATGGAAACAGCTTGGGTCCACTTTTTAAAGAATAGCTATCTCTGCTACCATTAGTTGTGGACTTTTGATGCTGAATTTATTTCATCCAGGATTATTCTGAGTCATAAGCAAGCTAACTTTTTCAGGTGAAATCAGTTGTCCAGCAAATTCTGCAGTGTTGGGACAAAGGTGCACAACTCCAGTTTTCCCTGGCCTACTTGATCACTGTAAACAGTCTAGTTGTGGTCATCATACTTGCAGATGGAGATACCTGTCCATTTGATATTCATAAAGAAGAAAACAGTCAGAGCATGTTTAATAGGTTGCTATAAGATCATAGTGAGGAAAACGCTAGTTCAGTCTTGGTCATTTAAGTTTAGAGATCACAGGTTCTTCAAGGGTGAAGATCTTATCAGAATAGTTTGTGGCTAGAAGATGTAAAGACTTAAGAAGAATTTTTGTTTCTTTATTTATTTTTTTATTTTTTTACACCTCAGTATGATATACCTTGTCACAGCTGCAACTACTGACCAAAATCTTGGGGGGGGTCTTCCCTTAATCTGCTTCAGAAATCCCCTCACAACACCTGGAAGTAATTAGTGACCATCTAATTTGAGCAGTTAAACTTTTTCACTTCTCTTTGAAATAAAACCAAGACTAATGCTGGCTCTACCAAGAGTAGCACTGCTAGAGCTTTTGATAATACCTTGCAAGTAATGAAAACAAGAATTGAAGCCACCTATTCATTAGCAAATAATCACCAGAAATGGATTCCGTTCATCCTTAGTCAAGTTGCCACCTACAAAAATAACATTTCAAGGAAGTAGCTTTTTCATGCCTTACTAAACCAAATTTAAAATGGACTTCTTAGCTGCTGACAGTTGTCTCTTAATGTAACTTCCATCACACAACCTACAACAACAAAAATTGCTAGCATGCAGAGAGCTGACAATCCAAGTAGTCCTAATTCAGTATCCCCAGCTAAAAGAAATAACCATTTCTAGAGTTGCTTCACTATGAACTCCCTATTCATAGTCCATCTTCTTTCTTGTTTGGACATTTAAAGTATTCTGTGCTGAGGGAACAGAAAAGAGGAAGGGATGCTGCGGAAGGTTTTCTTAGGATCCTGCAGCATGTCCTGCATTGTCTTAATGGCACTTACTGTGTGTTCAGTGGAAGACTTCTCGGACGCTAGTCTGAAGAATGCTCTTAGAACTGGCCAGCTTTTTGATTCACTGACCTAAGTGCAGTGGAAGTGGATGCCAGATCAGGTTCTAGGGGAAAGCCATCTAATCTACTTACCTTCTTATGACCTGAACCATTCTAGGAGCATCATTAAGCAGGAAAGACTCCTGGATGGTGAGTAACCCTGAAACAAGAAAAAGCATTAAGATGCAATAGTGGTATTGATGTGAGACACTTCTCCCCATCCCTCTCCCCCATCTCTTTTGCCCTCCCCCCCCCCACCTCCCCCGGGCTCCTCTGTAAATGACTCCATTGTGTAACTTCATGTTAAGATTGGTGAATGTGTTTTGACTTAATATTTCCTTGAGATGAATAGATGCTAATGGCAGCCTTCATTTATATTGTCTGCTAGAAACTTAGAACGGGAAATACTTGCTGAAAGACTATATTGACTACATCCCTGTTGTACCTTTTGAAATACTGTAGCTTTATAGTTTGTGTAAATCATTAGCTTGTTGTATGGTGCTTAAGACAGCTGGCGTTGCTTAATGTATTCTGTTCAGTTCACATTTCCACCTTTTGTACGGATGTGTTAGAGCTTTGAAACAGAAGGGTATGTTTTATGGTTCCATGAATCAGATGTTTCTATTCAGAAGGTGGAGAGAGGCTTCCTTTATGGCCTTCAAACCTAGTCTGGTTTGAACAGTGAGCTGTAGAATTGCAGTATTAATAGCGGCCACAAACTGCCATTAATCTGAACTCTGAGTAAATATTTGCTTACTCCTTGCCTTCAAAAGACTCCAAGGTTTTGCTCTTTCTTACATTTAAAATGTGCAACTGTGTTTAAAAGCATGTGCCATTGAGAGCTCAGCTGCTGAGGGTATGGCTTAAATGCATTGGAATTGTTTTGTGATGGCCATCGGCAAACACCGTCCAGTATAGATTGCATGGAATAAGTCAGTAGTTTACTTGAAATTGTGCAGTTTTACTGAATTGTCTAAGTTTATACTCCATGTGTAGATAACTTTTCACAAAGTCATGATATACGCAATTGCTTGCACACGTAACAAAATACTTAGTACATATAAGCAAATGGGAATAGCAAAGCGGGTACTCCTGCAAGCTTTCCACTCAAGCAGCCAATGTCACTCTATGGCTTTATTCAGTTTCTGCTGTCTGAGATTATAAAATCTTTTGGATCTAGCTGCAGGAAAGCTGTTTTCCACAGTGACATCAAAAAACAAATACTAGAAGTGTTTTAAATTTTTTAATTTACACATTTTAAATCCAATCTTTAATGTACTGCAGCTCTTAATTGCCAATATTTAATGTGGCTTTGCCTCACTGGTACATCTTTTTGGAGTCGTCTGCTGTATGCAGCAAGACAAGGGGTCAGACACTGAATACTAGTGGTATAGCTATTACTGATTAGATCAAATGCGGAGTCATAGTTAACTATAGCTGTCACTTCTACTCCCTCTGTTCTGGTGGCTGCGAGTTTATCGTGTTAGCTGTTATCTTCTCACTGTAAGTCCGTCCTTTTTTCTCATTCATAGAGATCCTGTAACAAGGGAGGTTCTGGACAGGCTCAGAAGGAAAATGACTTAACAGTAAGTAATTCTTCTGGTTGTATCTCTGCAGTAAGAGTTCAGAAACCTGCCCAAGATGGATATGATGAATGCTGCTCTTGATGTTGTGCTTCTCTAGAGAAATGGAGGAAGTTAAATCATTTGTATTGCTTTTTTCTTTAGTGACTTCTCTTCTATTGACTCATTCAGTCATGTTGGACAAAGTCTATGTTCTTTGCATGTCAGATGCTGTGCTCACTTATGCTGCCTCAAATATGAACTTAAATCCTGTATAGGAGAACCTGCAGGTTGAGGAGACTAAATGGAATTTAATCTTGCTTAAAGATGCCACTTGTGCAGGGTTGTAAGTCCTGAATCTTAAAACATTATTTCCTGACTGATAGAATTCTCCTGGTACTGCTGTCCATAGCTGAACAGCACTAGCTGCTTTGCATCCTCCTTGTTCATTCCCCTAGTTGCTTTCTTCTTGACCATGGTTGAAGATAACATACAGTTTGTCAGATACAAAAATACTATCTTTTCTCGTATTACCTGCCTGCAAGTCGCATCATTGACAACTCTAAAATTCTTGGGCACTATTTCTTGCAGTTTGGAGGGGGAGGGGTTGATGCATACAATGATACTTCCACGAAGATGGAGGAAGAATATGAACAAGGCTAGCCATATTTTTTTTATTTTATTTTTTTTAATCTAAGGAGTTCTTTCCTCCTTAATTTGATTGTTTGAAAAGATGGAGATTCTAACTGTTGGCATATGCTTGCACATCTGGTCTTCTGCTTTGAAACTCACAACATTGGTTTCAGGAAAACACTTTGCCATTAGCAGATTCGGTGATTTTTTTTTTTTGAATGGGTATAATGGTAGATTTAAAGAGGCACGTTTGCCAGGCTTCAGAGACAAAATACAGAGATCAAAGCATCTCCAAGGTAGGAAGATAAACTAGAATAATCTCATGCAGTCTTGAAACTATTAATTGACTGAAAATGTACCATTTCTGCTGGAAAATAGGACAGCACAGAAACATTCACAAACTTAAAGCCAGGAATTCCTGCTATTCAGTGCAGTAAAATTTAGAAAATAATATCTGAATGTTGTCTTTGATTCAGGATAGGTTTTCCTGTTCTTACTAAAAATACTTGCATGGTTACTTGGTTAAACTTTGAATGTGAAAATGTATCATTGCTTAGACTTTTGTTTGAATTGCCAAATGAGAGTTAACCTTTTTTTAAATAGGTCTTTAACCCTGCAGCCAGCATCAACTTCCAAGGTGAATTTCTACCTTTAAGTCTTCAAAACTTACATGAAGTTTTAGTTGTGCTTGGTTGACTCTTAGAACTGTCTGAATTCTTTTTGTTTTAAACTCAGTTTTAGTTGGACTGAACTTTCAGGCTAAAAATTAACAGGTCATCTTGTATTGCTTTAAAAGTATATTCAGGACCTCCTTTTTCAAAGGCCTTTGGGTAAATAATTAACTTTTTACTTGTAATAACCTCAGTTTCTGAAGGGTCAATCAGATTTGCAGTGATAAACTTATCTAGCCTTCCAGTATAGCTTAAAAGGAGATTTTACAAGGCATTGCTGTCTACATATGTGGAAATGTAGTAACATTTATTAGCGAGCCTTAATTGTCTTATAACAGGGGTGAGCAATTATTTAGGCTGTAGGGCCACTTAACGAGTTTTGGTGAGCTGTCCATGGCTGTATAGCCCTGTTCCTTGACAGGTGCCTTGCCTCCATGATCTCCATCTTGGGACCAGAAGTCCTTCCCTTTGCCCCCAGAAATACAGGTACTCCTCACTTAACGACCTACCTGTTTAACAACCGCGCGGACTTACGACCAGCTCTCCGTAGAGTCGTAGAGCTGGTCGGCAGCGCGGCGTCTCGGCGTCAAGCTGAGGGAGACGTGGAGCTGACCCCGGCACCCTCCAGCCGGCTCCGCGAACCCACGAGGGGGGAGAAGCATCCACCCGGAGGGCAGCGGCCAGGACTCACTGCCATGGCCAGCGCCTTCCCGTCCCCGGTTGTTCCCCTGGAGGCCGACTATGGTCGGTAAGGGGCGGCTTCTCGCTTATCGACCAATTCGCTTAACGACCGAGTTGTAGGAACGGAACTCGGTCGTTAAGTGAGGAGTGCCTGTACTCCTTTTGGGAAGGGAGTTTGCCACTTGGCACCTGGGGGGGAAATAACAAATTGTACACTAAAAATTGAATGGGGGGGCAGCGGGGGTTGTGGGGTGCATGTAGGGATGGGGGAGGCTGTGGAAGGCAGGTACATATAGGGGGCTCCCCCCACAAATATGCCCCACCACTACACACGGCCTCTGTTGCCAGCAGCAGCAGGTGGAGTCCCCCAGTGGTGCCTGGTCCCAGTGTACGCCAGGAGTGTACATGGCTGGGCCACTGGCTCTGGTCTTGTGGAGCTCACTGCCAGGAGGAGCCCTGCACAATGAAGCCAGTGGTATAAGTTATGGGGTTTGGCCAGCGCAGCAGGGAAAGGGGTG